CACCCGCGGGACAGCCAACAACTGGACGACGGACTCGACGTGGGACTGGTCCAAAGAGATCGTCGTCGTCACGGGCGCCAGCGGCGCCATCGGCATCGGCGCGGGCGTGGTGCGGGACCTCCTCGCCAGGAACCCGCAGACGACGATTGTGGTGGTAGACTATGTTCCCATGGCATGGCAGCCGGCACCCGGGACGGGGGATAACCTGCACTACTACCAGTGCGACTTGAGCGATAAAGAAAACATCCGCTCGCTCTGCCAACGCATCCGCGCCGAGGTCGGGGACCCGACGGTGCTGGTGAATAATGCTGGGCTGGGGCGCGGCGCCACCGTCATGGAGGGGACGTACGCCGACGTGGAGCTGACGATTAACACGAATCTGCTGGCGCCGTTTTTGCTCATCAAGGAGTTTCTCCCGCACATGGTGAGGAGGAATCACGGGCACATTGTGAATGTGAGCTCGATGAGTTCTGTGATGCCGCCTGCGCAGATTGCGGATTATGCGGCGACAAAGGCCGGGTTGGCGGCTCTTCATGAGGTATATTTCTTTTTCTTCCCTTCTGGTCGTAAAAGCCCAGACTTATAGAGCGGGCTTGACTACTCGAGATGAAGCTCCTCGAGAAGAAGCATCCTACTGATGTCGGGGAAAACAACAGAGTCTTCAGCTGGAACTGAAATACATCCACAACGCGCCCAAGGTCCGGCTGACGCTGGGTGTCCTGAGCTTCATCAAGACGGCCATGTTCAGCGGCGAGACGGGGCAGTCGGCTTTTATGTTCCCGCTGCTTGAGCCGGATGCCGTTGCGGGAGCGTTTACGGATGCGTTGTATAGCGGGTACGGGCGGGTTATTTACCTGCCGGGTATCACGCGGTACATTGCCATGTTGGTGAGTGCTTTTCTCTCCTCTCTCTTTTCCTAATCTTGTTTTCGAAAAGAATTTTCAGTCTGCTAATGTTGAAATAGAGGAGTTCTCCCGAGTGGTTTTGGAGGATTGCGAGGGAGAGCACTGCGGGGCTCAAGGTGAATTTTAAGGGGTATCAAAAGGTTGATGGAAAGACTGGAAAGTTGAAGATTTCGGGTGAGAAAGGAGGCGTTTAGTCGGCGTCACGACGGAGTCGGCTCTCAAAGAAGGGGGAATATACGGTGCTTACTCGGTCGGGAAAAGGCGGTACTGTCCCTGATCTTTGCTGTTCCGCACATGCAAGAGCTTTTCGAAGATTTATATACGGTTGGGCTTCTTGGTTGATATTTCTGGTTTAGAATATAATCCAATATACATGTATCACAGGAAACAGGCTTAGTAGGTAGTTGCTATATCAAAGAACTTTCACGTCGCAAATAACCACAAGACCATGCGGTCTCGTCCAACCCTTAGGAGGGACAATGTTTTCCAGTGAAAAAGCCTTGCCGTTTGGCTTGACTACATGATGTTTATTGTCCTGGCTTAGAAGAACTCTGCCTAAGTCGCGGGGTTAGCGTGAAACCCGCCCCTGTGGTGGGCTCTCATCCCAAGTTGTTACTATGTGTTCAAGGGGAGGGACGCACATAACAAATTCATCAGTTACATCAGCTCCATACTTGCTGCCAAGACGGAACCATAAGCTTCGGAAGTGCGAAGAACGAAGACGACGACGAGGGGTTCGCAGCTTTGAGTGACCGTCACATCTCCTCACGTCCCGACTTGCCTTAAGTCGGAATCGTCCCGACCAATAGGAACGCGCCCGCAGCCCCCCAGATGTCCATTTACGGAAACCATCCGGAGACCGATCATATCACATCAACGGTAACGATGGACGACGGCTGATGGAAGAATGAGGTGTAAGGTGTGTCTAGAATAAAACAATGGGATGGTCACACCTCCACAGCTGGTTTGCATGTCCTCTCGACAATCCTACTTGTAACTGAGTTCTTGCTCCTTACCAGCGTCCGATACCAACTTCACTCTCTCAACCTTGACGATTTTCAACATGGCGAAAGTTATCGACGTCAGCGAGACGGAGAATGTCTCTTACAGCCAATTTGCCTGTATTGGCTCCGGCTTTGCAGCTATTGGCCTCGGAGCAACGCTGAAGCGATGGTACGGAATCGAAGACGTAAAGTTCTTTGAACGGCATAGCCAGCTAGGTGGAACTTGGTTCATCAATCGATACCCAGGTACGTCAGGAACATCCCAATCTTGGCCATCTTCCCCCGAAATAGTGCTTCAGAACTGCGAGCTAACGGCCTCTGGTGTCTCGGTAGGATGCGCCTGCGATGTCCCCAGCGCCCTGTACAGCTTCTCCTTCGAGCCCAACCCCCACTGGACGCGAGTCCTGCCGACGTACTCTGAGATCTGGGAGTACCTCAACAACGTGGCCCACAAGTACAACCTCGTCCGCAACATGTCGTTCGACGTGCTCGTCGAGCGCTGCGAGTGGATCGAGGAGCGTGCCCGCTGGCGCCTCTCCATCCGCCACCTCAAGTCGGGCGCCACCTTCTTCCACGAGTGCCAGTTCCTCTTCGCCGGCACGGGCGCGCTCGTCACACCCAACGACATTGACGTTCCCGGCGCGGACACCTTCAAGGGCGTGATCGAGCACACGGGCCGGTGGCGTCCGGACATCGAGCTCGAGGGGAAGAGGGTCGTGCTCTTTGGCAACGGGTGTACAGCCGCGCAGGTCGTCCCGAGCATCGTCCACAAGACAAAGTCGCTGACGCAGATCGTGCGGTCGAAGCACTGGATCTTCCCGCCCATTGATAGAAAGGTGCCCGACGTGATCCGGTCCGGGCTCAAGACCGTGCCGGGCTTAGCGCGCCTGCTGCGCTTCATCGTCTTCGCCGCGGCGGAGAGCTCGTTGCAGGGGTTCCCGCTGACGGAGGCTGCGAGCAAGTATAGAGCCGGGCAGAAGAAGGTTGCGGAGGAGTATATGCGGTCTACGGCGCCGGCCAAGTACCACGACCTGCTGATCCCGGAATTCGAGATTGGGTGCAAGCGGCGCATCTTCGATTCCGGGTATCTCAAGAGCCTGCACGCCGAGAATCTGACGTTGACGAACGAGAAGGCGCTGGAGATTGTGCCGGAGGGCGTCAGGACGGCAAAGGGGCTGATTGAGGCCGACGTGATTATCCTGGCCAACGGATATCACACCAACGAGTTCGTTGCCGGGGTCAATGTTATTGGGCGAGATGGCGAGACGATACCGAGCCATTGGAAGTCCTTTGGAGGGCCCGAGGGGTATAACTGTTCGATGATGAACAATTTTCCCAACTTTGTCATGATTATGGGTATGTTCGTATTCCCTTGAGGAGATTGCCCCTGACTGCTAACACCATCAAGGCCCCAACGCTGCGACAGGACACACATCGTCCATCATGGCCCTGGAAAACTCCATCAACTACGCCCTGCGCGTCTTCAAGCCCGCGCTGGAAGGCAGAGCGAGCACTGCGGTGATCAAGCGTGAGGCCGAGGAGGCGTACACCGACACCATCCAAGACGCCTTGCAGCACAGGGTATGGAACTCGGGGTGCAGCAGCTGGTACTTTCAAAAGTCGGCGGACGGCACCAAGACGTGGAACGCCATGAGCTATCCCTATACGCAGGGCTACTTTTGGTATCGCTGTCTGTTTCCGGTGTGGTCCGACTGGGAGTATAGCGTGAGTAGAGACGACGAACTTTCTGAGATAAGTGGCGAAGCTAACTTGACTCTTTGCGTTACCAGGGACAAACGAGTCCGGTCTCGTCGATCAAGAAGAGGCAGCCGCGCGCATTGCTTTTCGTCCTCACTACATTGCTTGGTCTTGCGGCTTGGGGGACATTTGACAAGACAGGATTTATTGCGGCTGTAGCCCAGGCTCGGCTTTCTTTTGAGGCGCTTGTTGCCTCTATTCCCAAGTAAACCATTATTGCCATCATCATGTATTTCCTCAATTTGTCAGCGGCCAAAATGTTCCCAGGTTCCTAATTGTTTCTATAATTGTGCATCTGAGAGTTCCATATAGAATAGTCTACCCATTTGCACCCATATCCTTCGATAAGGTATCTTACCTTACTTGCATCGAAATAAACACATAAGCTCACCAAGATCTGACCACCAAACCTGGGGCATGCCAGGTATTTCGTCAATACAAGTAGTTTACGGGTCCGGTAGTTGCACCCTTGTCAAGGCAAACGACGAAAACACGCACCAATCATTGCGGTGGTGATAGTCATAGCGTAACTGCTAAGTCCCCGGTGGGCTTTCAACTCGTCCCGGTGGCCCGCTTCCGCCGGGGAACTTCACGGTCCGATCTGCACGTCAAGGGAATAGCCGTTTAACCCCGCAAAACTCACTTGAGCCTTGTACACTCCATGGTACCCTGTGATGAACATCTCCATCCGACATCTCCGTAGCGTTGTTGATATTCTTGGTATTGGTACTTTGTCAGTACTTCTATTGATCTATCCTGAAGTTTCCGACAATCACACTTCACCTCGCCATGAGATTATTTCGGTACTAACAACTTGGTAACGTCGGAGCGCATGCTTCTCATTAAACGTTGAATATCTTCAAAGCTAGCACACACGACCGTCACGGCAGGACATAGCACCTCGCGATGCCCCCTGGGCGACAGGAACGGCAGCGTCGTCGCAAAATTACCCTGGCATGTGAGCCATGCCGAGAGCGCAAGGCACGCTGCGATGGAGGCAAGCCCATATGCTCGACGTGTCAACGACGATCACTGGCCCTCGAGCATTGCGTCTACACGGTAAACAATGCAAGAACGGCATGTAGCGATGAGTGAGTTTATGGCGATGTGACAATTTGCTGTTTTCTTCCTTCATTCCACTGACCTACGAAAAAGCTATACAAAAACGCTCCATGAGCGCATCCGCAAGCTGGAACAGGCTTGCACATCCCATGGCATCGACATCAACACTCTCGAAGTCACTGCGCAAGACGCCCACGGCTCCGCCGCTGACAATATGTCATCCACCGCTGCAGGAACCCGGGACTTTACCGCACTAGACGCCGCCTCCGCCATGGACACATCCGACGATCAAGCAGCGGCGGCGGCGGCCCAGCTCCCGTCGCCATACTCGTCCGTTGGCGTCGACAGCTCCAGCGAGGCCAGGCGGGTGACGGCCATGGGCACCATACTCGCCGAGGACGACCTGGAGGACTCGCCCAACAAGTCTGCAGAGCCCGACTTCTACGGCAGCTCCTCGGCCGTTGCGTTCTTAAAAGAGGCATACAGCGCGATGAACTCGGCCCCTGCAAGAGTGCAGCCATCCACTCCCTTTCGGAGCCAGCAGGCACTACCGTCCCTCTCGACGCCGTCTTCACTGTACGCCGACTTTGACAAGTTCCTCTTACCCCCTCGCCCGTTCGCCGATTATCTTCTTCAACTGTACTTTCAGAGAGTACACTACCTCTACCCCGTATTCCACAGACCGGCCTTTGAAAGAGCCTACGAATCCCTCTGGCAACCGACGACCTCAACAACCGCAGCAGCACCAGCAGCCGCCTCCGAAGCAGGAGAACCGGACTTCCGCGGCGTAGGCCTGGGCTGTTCCCCCGGCGCAGACGCCACCACGATCGTCTTTCACAGCGCCCTCAACTCCATCTTTGCGCTCGCCTGCAATTTCGCGGACCTCACCTGCGCGGAAAAGGCAAAGAGCATCGAGGTCTTTCTGCTGCGGAGCCGCAAGTGCCTCAGCGTCGACCTGCTCGAGAAGAACAACCTCGGCGTCGTGCAGACGCTGTTGCTGTGCGGGTTGGTCTTTCAGGGGACGCCGTTCCCCGACCGGTGCTGGAATGCCGTTGGGATCGCGTGTCGGATTGCGCAGGGGCTTGGGCTTCATATGGATGTTGTGGCGGCGCGGGAGATGGGGGCCGGTCTTGGGGCGGAGGAGGAGGGAGGGTTCACTTTGGAGATGGACGTTAGGCAGCGGACGTGGCAGGGTTGTGTTATTCTCGATACGTGAGTCCTCCTCCCCTCCCCCCCCTCCCCCTTCTCTCCCCCACCCTCTCGTTTATCTTCGTTGTTGCCAGAGTCATTTGGGACCATGAGGAAAAAGGTTGTCACGGCTAACATGTTTTCAGCCTCGTGAGCATGACATTCGGTCGGCCTACCGTCACGTCCAATCTATCAGCAAACGAACTACTTTCCAGGTCCCATTCCGAAGCGGACCAGAGTCTCAAGCAGCCCAAGCTAGAGTTCATCACCCAAAGCTTCAAGCTGAGCCTGATACTCGAAAATATCCTCTCACAAGTCTACCAGCCGTGGCGGAACCGTTATCCCGCTCAGGGAGCAAATTGTGGCACACGGCTAGGAGGAGGAGGAGGTATAGGAGGACTAAGCTTTGACGCCATTGTCGAGCTCGACTCCAAATTAACCGACTTTGAGGACTCGGTACCGCCGCTCCTCTCGTGGGGAGCCGATTCGAGAGCTTCCGTGCTGGACGGGGTCTCGTCTCCAGACGACCTCCGTGTCCTCGCGACGCAGAAACACGTTCTACACGCAAGGTACGACGCCCCTCTCATATGTACTGGATATCAGACGGGGAGCCGGGGACTAAATATGGTGATACTTGTTTGAATCTAGGTTCTTGTATCTACGCCTCATGCTCCACAGGCCGATTCTCACCGATCTCTCTGCGGAGTACGCCCGACCTCGTCAGGACACCGCCGGTGGCCGCCCGCCATCGGAAGCACCCCTCAGATCGCAGAACAAAGGCCTTAGGGCGCCGTTCCTGACGGAGTGTGCTAGGGCGTGTGTGGAAGCAGCCATGCAGCTCATTGATCTGGTGCAGGGCTCATATCAGACGGACACGACGGGGGCGTGGTGGTGGAATAGCTTGTGTGAGACACTTCCACCTTCATTTCTTCTCTTTGATTTCCCAAGGCAATTGGTCCTCGTTTGAGTATAGTAAGTAGAAAAGATGGCTAACGCGAGATCATATAAATATCACAGATGCCTGTGCCGCCGGCTTAGTCCTGATCGTCTGCCGCCTCTGTCCGCGCCTCTGGACGGGGCTGGACCACGCGGCAACGTCCGCATCGTGGGAGCAGTGCCAGGGTATTCTGCAGGGCATCGCGGCGTTCAGTGTATCGGCTCGCAAGTCGCTGGATCTGCTGCGCAAGATTGATGGGGCCGTCACGCAGTTACAAGCAGGTGAGTCTTCTGGTCCTCTCGCTCAAATGGATATGCCGTCATTATAGCAAAGCTGACACGGTTCATTTTGTCTACTACAGCAAGGGAACCATCGGGACAGCAGATGGACCCCGAGATGAATTGCGCGTCGGGGTTGGAGGAGAGCTGGTCGCTCCCGGCGGATGTCGATGTCTCGCTGCTTCTCGAGCCCGATCCCATGTCTTTCTTTCGCGGGTGGGAGGTTATGGGTTACGAGACTTTGAACTCATGATAGGAAGTGGAGCGACTCTTTGAAAAGAGAGACAGAGAGACAGAAAGAGAGGCAATATCGAAGTGATAACAAAAGAAGCAGAGCTTTTTTTACTTTGTATGTAATAATGTGAAATACAAGTCAGAATCTACCTTACACCGCGCAAAACAGGCAGGCACGAGATTCGAATGCCAGAATCCAAAGTATTCTATAGAAAAGGGAGAGGACGAGCATGTAATTTAGTCCCGCATCAGCTTAGCGTCCTCCAAAACACCAGCAACCTGAGCCTCTCGCAGGATGAGAGACTCGTAATGCTTGTTCCTCATGTCGACCTTGACAGGGAAGGGCTCGCCCGTGGCCTCCAGGTTCAGGATGTTCCTGTTGTACGGTCCATTCTAGGCTATCAGTCAGTATGCTGCACATCCCAAAAAGGAGCAAGAGACAAGAGGGTAAAGGTCACTCACAGGCTTGTAGTCGACACACTGAACCAGTCTGGCAATATTCAAAAACATGCTGCGCTGAGCCAGGCGGTATCCCACACATATCCTCCGCCCGCCGCCAAAAGCCCACAACCCATGCGCGATATCCGCCTCGTGGCCGTCCAGCCACCTCTCGGGCTTGAACTCGTCCGGATCCTCGCACTCGTTGGCGACGGCGGGCCCGTTGATGGCGAACCCGGTCCCCGCGGGGAAATAGTACCCCTCAAACTCCATGTCCGCAGACGTCGTGTGGTCCGGCGTGAGCGGGAAGATGACGTGCCAGCGCAGGATCTCCTTGGCCATGGCGCAGATGTATTTCAGGTCGTCCATGTCGGCGAGGGTGGGCAGGCGGGCCTGCTCGTCGACGCCGCAGAGGGCGTCGACCTCTGCGCGCGCCGCCTTGAACACGGCCGGGTACTCGAGCGCGGCCATGGTCATGATGTTGAGGGCCTCGCGGGTGGTGTCGCTGCCGGCCTCGATGAGCTGCATGGCGACGTACATGCCGTCGACGTGGTCGCCCTTGTACTTTGTGTCCGGGTGGAGCAGCGTGTCGCGGACAAAGGACGGGGGCGCGGTGCCGTTCTCGACTTTGGCGGCGATGGGGCTGTACCAGCGGTCGTAGAGGTCGTAGTTCCACTGGCCGAGGGCCTCCCAGTGCGGGCGCCAGAGCTGGAGGAAGCGCGGGAGCTTTGCGAGGTCGGGGAACCAGTCGATGATGGAGCTGCCGATGGAGCCGACGAAGAAGGTGACTGCGTTTTGCATGTCGACGAGCTCCTCCTCGCTCTTGACGAGGCGCTCGCCGAGGGCGATGCGGTGGATGACCGAGTTGGCGTAGCGGTAGTGGTGGCGGTACCACATGCCCGGCTTGAAGACGTACTCGGCCATCATCTGGGTGCTCTCGAGCTCCTGGAACTCGCCGTACTGGCGGAGGGCGGTGCCGCTGAGGAGGGAGTGCATGACGCGCCGGGGCTCGGCCCAGTCCTTTTGGGACATGATGAGGGACTTGCGGTTGCGGCCGACGATGTCGTTGGAGATGGGCATGGGGGTCCGGGTGCTCGTCTGGCTGCTTCGCTTGGCGATGATTTCGCTCACGACGCGGCTGCTGTTCAGGAGGACTAGGGTCTTTGAGCCTAGGTGGAGGGTGGTCATTTCTCCGTATTTTGCCATGGAGAGGAGCTGGTATTTTGGACCAGACGTTAGATTGATGTTTACGCACAGCTTCACAAATGAAGAGATGGATACGTACGCCTCTGTTGTAGGGGTCTCCTTTGCTGGAATTGACTTGGAGCAGGTTCCCGAATAGGGGAACGCCTTCGGGGCCTGGTGGTAGAACGGGACGTCTTCCATCATTTCCTCTGCGTTTCCCGACTGGTTTGAAGTACTGAAGTAATATCGTGATGAGAAGTATGGTGGTGGCTGCGGCGGCGAAGAGTATGGAGGCGACGAAATGCTCTTGTCGTAGGCGTTGAAGAACGCTGTGGATTTGCGTCACGACCATCTTAGATATATAGAATTATCTGAACACTGTGAATATGTTGATACAGAGGTTAATAATGACAGCATGACTACAGTTTCCGAAAAAGATCAAACGCTTTTATCATGGCGTTGAAGGTTGAGCTGATGGCCATAGGGATCTGGATAGAGCCCATGTTCGGGATCGTTCCGACACCGTTTGGTTTGGCCAGACTGTTAACCCTTGGTTTCGGAACCAAGCCGTTGCCAGGGTTTCAATTCCCCGACAGGCCTAGAACATTTTCGGAGGCGGCTAGAACAGAAGATGCGATTTTATTCCTTCCACGTCACTTTTGGAAAGCGGACCACATGATTTCCATGGTCGCCGCCATGGTTGCCGAGAGGGCCGTAAAACCAGGATTCCGGGCCGGCGGGCTCGGGGAGTCGGCGAGAGTGGGGCCGACGGACAACACGGCAAATGTGGATCTCCGGCGGAAGAGCTTTAAGTACGACTTGCGTCCGCGAGAGGTTGTGAAGACTTGGAAAAAGCTGTTGCACCCATTCGGTTTCGAGTAACACCGGCCAACGCCCTGCTTCAGGCCGCCATGCAGGCGCAGACGGGAAGTTCGCCCCTCTTCAGGATCAAAGATTTTTTGGCGCCATCGCGATACCCGATCTGCCGATGTCTGCGACTGTGGCTCACGCGGTGGCCTACGGTCAGCGGCCCAATCACAACTGGGTTGGGAATCTCTCTCTCAGTCTGTGACTTTGTGGCGCTCTGCAGTGCTTTGGAGAGGTCGCCAATGGGTAATCTCCCAGCACAGCAGAGGGTGACAGTGAGAGTGGTTACACGTGTTGCCGCAGGTGACCTGGTTAGACAGGCTGCAGTAGGCTGCAGCAAGACGATGCAGATCCCTGTTCGCCGCTGTGGTTTACTCTGTCTTGAGGTGTTGGAGAAGAGAGAAAAACGAGCTGGGTGGATCAGACCACAAGAATTAGAGTAGCCATTGGTGAGTCAATGATGAATCAAGAGATGAAGCGTATGGCATCTTTGTGTGACGGCTTCGACACGTCTCGTCGATAAGAAAAAGAAAGGCTCATGAAAGAGGCGGTAAGGATGTGTTGGCGAGGGAGCGCTGGAGCGGGGAGGCCAGCCGGGCTGATCTCCACATGGGACGTTGCGGATGGTGGCATTGGGCGCACTCACTGACCTCAAGACTCAAGGCTCCAGACTCGAAAGTGACTTGCAGAAGCGAGAAAAGAGCTGGAGCATAGACGAGAAGATGCATGGCATAGGTATCCGTAGTACGTATGAAACCCCGGTGGAGGTGTACTATGTAAGAGTGGATGATGGATGGGAAGAAAGTGTAGTGTGCACTTTACAAGGTGAGTTATTAGGTAAGCATATCATGAGGCATCCATACATACTACAAGGACATAGGTAAGCACGGTAAGGTAGATTGGTACCTAGGTAAGCGCGGGCAATTTCGACAGGGTGCCGCGGTGGCCGGTCGGACACTTGGACCATGGGAGCTGAGGTGGAAACAGCGGACCAGGGAAGCTACAGGGATGGCCGTAGCTGCTGCCCGTCGAGTTCCTTTTCGTCCCAATTGCAGCAATTGCCAATTTCACAGGCAGCTCGCCTCACCCTGTTCACCTCGTCTTAGTGGACCGCGACCGCTGGGCGACCCCGCCGCCATCTGAGGTGAGCCCAGCTTCCCCCATGTACTCCCTCCCTACTACGTACCTACGCAGCATCCGTAAGGTGTGCTGCGCTGCCAGCTGCCTCTCTGAACGAGGAAGGGCCTAGCTCCCAGTCCCCTTTCCCAGCGCCCATCGTCCCAGATTGTGTGTGTAGTCCCCAGCCACCCTTTCCCTCCTTGCCTCCCATGGAAGGAAGTCTCTCCCCCCCTTCCACACTTTGAAGGCTTCCCACCACCCCCCCGCCCAGTCAGTTTTTTGGGGGAACACCCCCGGGATATAGCTTCACGGCCTGTCCCGCTTCGTCCAGTCGCTTATTCCTCCAAAAAACAAAACAATAACATCGCCAGATTATTGTCTGCGCACTCCAAAGCACAGAGCCTCATCTTAATTCACCACCATCACACAATTCGACACCCCACGCCGTCGAACGTCTCCATCATCCAATCGCGCCTATACCACGAAAGAGCGACAGATGCGCACGACAGCTTTCGATACGCCTTCGCGACCATGATGCGAGATCCGCGTCGCCGGAGCCCAGAGAGCTCTCGGCGGCGAAGAAGAGACCGCCGTGATTCTCGCGAGCAACTCGCCAACGCTGCCGACGAGAGCGTCGTATCGAGTATTCCTGGTCCATCATCTCGGGCCCCAACACACCAGCAGCCCCTGCCGTCCGTGTATTCGCCGTCGCAATCGCAATACCCCCAATCCTATACCGAATCTCAGAGATACCCCGAAACCGAGAGGTATGCCGCCCCTTCTGAGAGATATCCCGATCCTCAGAGATATGGCGAGCCCCAACGATACCCCCAACCCGACCAGTACCAACCTCACCAACACCACCAGCCGCAACAACAGTATCCTCCTTCCGAGGCGTTGATTCAGCCTCTAGGCTATGGCGAACCCGAACGACATGCCCAACCCCAGCCATACCAAGGAAATCACCAGTCCGAGAGGATGCGCCCGCGAGGCGGCTCCAGTTCTTCCTCGTCCTCCTCCACCTCCTCCTCCATGCTCAACATCTCAGCAAAGAGCCCCAAGTTTGGCGGCATCTTTAATACTTTCTTCAGAGCCCCCTCGGAGCAGCGCAAACGTCGCAGGAGGAAGAAGCAGAAGGCCCGCATTCTCTCCTTTGGCAATTCCTCCTCCTCGTCCGTCAATTCTGACATGGCTTACGGTCGCGGCTACATTGACCGCGACAAGAGTCAGCTTACGAGCCCCAGGCCACAGGGATACGCGAGTCCCTCGTTGTACCGTGCTGAACCGACTGACGCCCACCAACAACAACAAGCGCGGCCCCCGATGCCTCGTGATAAGACCGACGAAGAAATTCTCGAGATTGGACGCCAACTGCAAGACATTGCGCGCAGGCAGAATGAGCATGATCTCAAGTCTGCTTCCAAGTCACGGGCGTCCCAGCTGGCCGGTACCGCCGCTGGTGCCGCAGCCGCAGCCGCCGCCTTCAGCCATTTTCGTAGTAAGAGTAAGAGCGACACCAAGACCAGAGGATCTGGCACTTCTAAACCTAATGAAAACGCTTCCTCTTCGGACGATGACTGGGAATCGGCGTCTGAAGATGAGTCTACTACTACGGATGATTCCGACAACGGCCTAGCGTATGGCTCCTCCATCAAGCCGTCCAAGTCGGCAAGAATCTCAAACGAGCCTCCGGAGCAGATCAAGCCACCCTCGCGGAGGAGTACCATTGTGGACCCACGCCTCTTCGGTCCCGTAAACTCTCTTCGCGGCGCCGTAAAAAGCCCATGCGGCTTTGGCGAAGAAGACCCCCGGTCTGCTGGCTCTTCCCGGCGCCATCACGAAGAGACGGTAGCGCAGGTCGAATCGCCCAAGACTGGGAAACAACCGATGCAGCGTATATACCCCGTGCCGACCTCCGATCCGGACAAGTTCGACTACGACCGTAGCTCTGTAACCTCATCCCGCCAGGATGTCCCTCAGCGTGCCCGGCCCGGCCCAGTCCCTATCCAGCAGCCTATCCCCATTGTCCCTCTCCCGTCCAAGGTGTACGATGCAGAGAGATTCGAGGAGGAGGAGGAGCGCCGGAACTCTAAGCAACCCCGCCAGCCGCCCAAGGGAAGAAGCGCTGCCGAGAATGCCATCGCCGGCGTAGGCATTGCCGCTGCGGCTAAGGGTTTGGACATGGCTGCTAAACGTAGGGACTCGGGCGAGTACATGGAACGTCGAGATGACCGTCGAAGTGAGGTACGAGACCATCATCGGAATGACTTCCGCGATTCCTGGCAAAGCCGTCGTATAGAGGAAGAGCCCGAACGCCCAGTACCAATTGAGCTGGAAGACCGCGATCCTCGTGATCAGAACGACCCCCGCCGGCCCCATCGACGCAACAACGTTGAGATCATCGACGACCGAGACAAGCGTCGGGCTGGCCGTTCTGATCCCGCCTATGAGGCCTTGAAGAAGCCCGACGTCGAGACTGACCCTCGCCCGGAGGTGTACAAGCTGCCCCAGGGTGACGAGATTCGAGTTGAGTACGACCCAAAAGATGACCACCGGCCACGTGAGGAACCAAAGGAACCTCGCAGGGATGACCGTAAGCCGGTGGTGGTCGTGGATGAACGCCGGGATGTGAAGCGGGTAGAGAAGCCGACTGAGGCGCCCCGAGAGATACATGGGGTGGAGCATCCCGAGGCCCCCAATGCACAAGCCCCTATTGACCCTTTCCAGTTCCAGGTCGCTGATGATGCGTTTCAAACGCCAAAGTACGCCACCCCGAAGAGGCCACTGACTCCCCAGGTCGTGACCGTCGACCGCGAACCCAACTTTGACGATTCCCCGCCGAGGAAGCCCGACTACTCCGAATCCCGAATGAGCCGCAAAGACTCCTTTGAACTCGAGAAGCGTCTGGAGCAGTATCAGCAAGGAGCACGAGACCGTTCCCGGACCCCTGAGCCGCGCCGCCGGAGGGATTCCCTTCAGGAGGAACAGCATGCTGCAAAGTCCATCTACGATGAGGCCAAGCATGCTACCGTGCCTATCGCCGCGGCCGCCATTGCTTCTGCCATCGCCGTCGAAGAGGAGAGATCACGCAAGCACCGCAACGATCATGTGACTGAGGATGGCTCCCGCGACAGATCCCGAACTACCAAGGACGCCGTACAGGAAGAGGCCGATCGGTACTACCGTGAGACTGTCATCGCCCGCAAGATCGCCAAGGACGAGATCCGCTCGCGCAGTGCGTCTCCCCATGATGAGTCTGTCGTCGGCAAGTGGCAGGACCACGATGAGGGCCCAGACATCGTTACCATCGTAACACCGCCCGAGATGGATCATCCTCACGACAAGAGCCCGTACGACGCACCCAATGCCGATGTGCGCATTGATCATGTCATTATCCCCGACGAGCTTTCTCGCTTCCGTTTGCCACACCGTCAACTCGATCCTGGCGCACAGCCAATCTTCCAGTCTCGCGATCCTTCTGCTGAGCGTGAGCGACCTCTGCTGAACCTCGTCTTACCCACACCCGTTGTCACCCCGCGTCACACACCCGCCCCTGAGAAGCAAGCGCAAGAACAACCCTCCAGTAGAAGTCAAGAGCCTGTTCAACCTCGATCCGTTACTTCAGCTGAGCCACCTTCTTCTGCGACTGCGCCTGCCACAGAAATCGTTTTTGGACCCAGAGGCGAGGTTGTGGAAAGGCCGACAACGCCTACAGCCAAGTCAGTCACTTGGGGCGAGAATGAGACCAAGAGCTTCCAGATCGAGAGCCCAGAGCCTCCGATCAAGGAGCCGTCCAGCACCTCTAGTAAGTCTAAGAAGAAGAAAAAGAAACTTGGCAAGAGTTCACCGTGGGGCATCATTGCTGCGGGCGTTGCCGGTGGAGCTGCAGCGGCTGCAGTCTCTGAAGCCTCTGAAGCCCCCAAGATGCGCGATCCTTTCGAGAGCAAGCCCGAAGAGGAGAGGGAGAGACACAGTCCCCCAGAGTCACCAAAGTCCCGCAGCGTTGAGCCTATATCACCCATCATCGAAGCCGCCCCATCTAAGCTCACCACGTCGTTCGAAGATGACGCAGACTTGCCTCCCGCCCCAGGCCCCAAGCCTTCTAGCCCTCAGACGTCTAGGATGCCTGGCGCCTTTGCAGATGATCTAGAATTTGCCTCTGTGTTGGCGGCTGGTCTTCAAGACACTGGGTTTGATCCCAACATTGTCATCGACAACCCCACCTACATGCGTCGCGACAGCCCACCAGGACAAAGTGAGCCGGCCGTTTACCAGCAGCCGTTTGCCGAGACTGTCACCGACCTGGGCATCTATGGCCCCGATCATACCCATGATGGGCTTACTGCAGGCGACCGCGGCTTTGTCATTGGCGAGGTGCCAGAAACACCAGTAACAGAGAAGGACATGCACAACGGCCACGCGACCGACTCCCCTCGTGAAAAAGAGCGTCGTGACAAGGGCAAGGCTAAGGAGGTGCCATTTATCGAGCAGGAGCCGCCAGTTGAAGAGGCTGAACCGTCCAGGAAGCTGAGCAAGAAGGAGAAGCGCAAGCAAAAGGCATCAAAAAGGCAAAGTCTCGACAACGTGTTACCTGAAGAGACGTATGGTGCCCCCGAGCCAAGATCACAGCCCGAATCTGCTCCTTCGTCTGCACAGGCCCCTGTCTACGAAAGACCACACGGCTATTATGACGTTCCCGAAGCCACATCACGACCTGAGCCCAATCCATTTGCTCCGATAGATCATGCATACGCCAGACCTCACAGTTACCACGATGTCGCCGAAGCTGCACCACACCCTGCACACGCTCCATACTCGCAAGCAATGCCCGCCTACGATAGACCTCACAGTTACTATGGCGAGCCTACAACGGCTTACCGGGACCAACCTGCTCCCTACGCAGAGACGGGCCCTTCTTATGAGAGGCCAAGCAGCTATTACGACACCCCTCAAAGCCCGGAAACCGTTGTGGCGCTTGGTCCGAAGACTCGTGGATTTCAAGACGCACCCACCTGGGATTTGCCCACTTCATCTGCGACAACACAACCTCATGACGAGACTCCCGTCTCTAGAGCGGTGGAGTCCGAAGCTGCCCCAACAGACCCTGAAGCCTCCACATCGGCGAAAACAAGCAAGAAGGACAAAAAGAAGAAGAGTCGTGGCTCGAGATCTGAAATCATTGTCACATATGACGATGATGAGCCAGAAACCCAAGAGCCATCTTCTTACAACGAGCCGAGCACCTCTCACGAGAAACTGCCCGAGAGGGATTCATACCGCTCTACCGAGCCCCAAGAGGCCGGCGATGACGCATGGAATGAGCCTGCGAAGAAGAAGAAGCCAAAGAAATCCAAGCAGAGCTCAGATGAATGGACAGACGTCGACAAACAGAGCGATTACACGGCGACCCCAACTGTCGAACGAAGCCGCACTCGCGACGATCTTGAAGACTGGGATGACCTCCCGGCCAAGTCTCAGCGGGACCGGTCCAAGTTCGAGGAGCGAGATGTGAGCTCTGTAGCATCTGACCCATCGAGCAGGCGAGACAAGTCCGAGCGCCGTTCAAAGAGTAGCCGAATTGACGACCGCGACGTGAGCTCAGTTGTCTCTGATCCTGCGAGCCGCCGCGACAAGTCGGATCGTCGATCCCGGAGCAGCCGATACGAGGACGCCGACACCAGTTCGGTGGTCTCTGACCCCTCAAGCCGGCGTGAGAAATCCGATCGCCGGTCCCGCAGCAGTCGCTTCGATGATAGGGATGCTAGTTCAGTTGTGTCCGACCCCGCCACACGGAGCGAAAAGTCAGAACGCCGTTCCAAGAGTCGCCGTGAGGACGATCGAGACGCAGCTTCCGTAACCTCTGACCGTTCGTCTCGTCGTGAGAAGTCTGACCGACACTCGAACGGTACTCGTTACGACGACGACGCCAAGTCGGTGGTGTCGGAAAGCTCTGAACGTAAGAGACGCAGCCGAGACGACAAGAAGAGTCCCAAGGAAGACGAGAAACGCAGTAGCGGCTTCTTCAACAACCTGTTTGGAAACAGAAGCAGCAAGGATGTTTCCAGCAAGGACGAGAAGTCGTCTTTTTTAGATAATGCCGGCACCCTTGGCGCGGGTGCCGGCTTGGCGAGCGCCGTGGCAGCTTTGGGCTCCATGATGTCCCGCTCCAACGCCACCGAACCGCAGTTGGAAGAGTCGTCAGATGCTCTTCGAGATCGCGAGAGATCCGCCAGTCCCCCGCGAGACCTAGACATCGTCGACCCTGAGATCGTGCCGCGGACTATTAGACCTGCCATCGACCCTCAGTACGGAGATTTCCTCCCCCTGCCACCCAGCCCAATGCCGCCCAGCACTCCCGGCTCTCCCACCCAGACAAACTTGGATGAACTTCCTGCCCTGCCCGACAGCCGACCGGAGACGCCACCGGAGGAGCGGAGGCGTCAGCACGAGACCAAGACGCCAAAGACACACGCCCGCAAGCGTAGCAACATGGAGACACCGACCAGAAGCCCAAGTCAGACGGCTGTACCCTTCAAGCTGCGACTGGGGCAGAGGTCGGCACCTTCGTCTCCAGGTACCTTTGGAGTCTCGCCTGTCACCTCGCCAGCGGTGCCGACGTTCCCTGAGACCACACACATCACCCCTCCTCATCCCGCTTCCCTGTCTAGGCGCCCCTCGAGGCCCATCTCGTGGGAGAACAGTCGCGAGATCAAGCCCCTGTACCTGCTTGAACAGGCTCGTCAGGAATCCGCAGCTCAGTCAACGGAGCCACCCATTGATTTCCCAGAGCTGCCTCCAAGCGAGCCGTCGTCGCGGGAGTCACCTGCACCAGAATTCAGTCTGCGTGATGAGGATGTGAATTACTTCCATCAGCTTCAGGCATCGCCCTTTGAGCCTGACCTTCGTCTTGACACGGATATGTCGCGCTATCCTGAACAAACAACGCGCCGTTTCAGCTCGCAGGAAACCACCCCGAAGGCAGAGCACGCAGTCCAGCATGCTGGTGCCATGTTTGATGCGGCATCGCCTGGCCTTCCCGCGTCTGCAGATACCGCCAGGGGGTTGGACTTGTCAGAGCACGAGCTAGAGAAGCTGCCCGCACTTCCTGCTAGCCCTTTGACATCCCCGGCAACGGCCATCGCCAGTCCTATTCACCGTTCGAACATTCCGGAATCCAAGTCAGGGCAGCTACCTGCTCTATCCGACAGCCCCGTGACGCACGCAACTGAGATGCCCGAACCGGAACAAGTCGAGACTACGTCCAAAGAAAGAAGTTCGTATCTCCTACACATGACGCCCCCATCAATCATCAAAAATCTAATGGATCGTGACACACCAGACACACCATCAAGCCCTTCACTGAACCGATCGCGCGATGTTGCCGCCAATTTGACCGAGATTGACCATGACGGCCACTCCCGCGATGATGCTATTGGCGCTCTACTGGGAGGTGCCGCGGCTGGTCTGGGGGCTGCCTATCTTGCAGATCGTCTCAAGTCTCACGACAAGTCGGCAGAGATTGGCCGAGACGCAAAGACCTCGGATGCTCCCGAGCCAGTGGAACTACCCATGGTTGAAGGCAAGAAGTCCAAGAAAGACAAGAAAAAGAAGAAGAAGGGCAAGGGCGCGTCAGTCGATGGCTTCACCCTCCCTTCAGATGAGCCTACTTCTTCTGCTCTTACGCCAGATGCCGACGAGGCGTTGGTCTCAGTGGAGCCCCCCACAATTGACTCCACCAACAAGGACTTCTTGCCATCAATCGATCAGGCTCGCACCATGCCAACCGAGGAGCCAGTTCACGCCTCAGCTAACAACACTGTTGATGTTGCGCCAGTCGACAGATCTGTGGAACCCTCGGGGGCGATTCCCTCAGTCGCTGTCTCCTCGAACGATGAGACTAATTTAGATGTCTTGCCACCGCTCCCTGCTGCGTCTGCTGATGAGCACGCGCTTCTCTCAGGCGATTCTGGTACCTCAATTCATCGCGCCGATGACCCGTTGCTTTCAACTCAAGATACTCGACGGTCTCTGGAGCCCACTGTTCAGGCACCCCACGCAGTCGAGGACCTTCCAGCTGTGCTTGATAGCAGTGATCACACCAGCAAATCTGTCGCGGAGGACGTACCTGTAGGTCGTAGTGCTCTGGTCGAAGACGCTGCTCCCGAAACCGTCACATCCGAGCCTTTGCTCGAGGATGACGCGTCCGACAAGAAGCTCTCCAAGAAGGAGAGAAAAAAGCAACTCAAGATCAAGAAGGCTTGGGAGCAGGCTCAGGCCGAGATGCAGGAGCTTGAACGATCTGCCGAGTCGACTGAGCAGAACAGCAAAGCTGCCTCCGAAGCAGACACAACGCCGCAGCCCGCCCTCGCGCCTGTGTTTGAACAGACCGCGGAGACGACTGAAGCCGAGCGAGCCGCGGGGATCCCGCTACCTGAGGTCTTGGATGAGGTGTTCGAAGCTCCCCTGGAGTCACTAGCTGACGTCCAGCCCACGCCCAAGCCCAAGCCCGAGACTGCTATCGAAGCAAAGGCACCGTCCACTTTCCTACCCGCTATTGAACAAGCGGCGGCTATCCCTCTACCTGATGCCTCAGACGAAGCCTTTGATGCTCCTCTTGACTCCTTGACCTCTATCGAGCACAAGCCTGACACCGCTCTCGATGCAAAGGCCCTGCCGACTTCTTTGCCAATCCTTGAACATGCTGCGGAGACCCGCGAGATCGAGCAAGCTTCAGCTGAACCGCTCTCCGAGAAGGTTGAAGACATATCTCAGTCGAATATCAAGGAAGTGCCTGAAGAGTCGGTCAACGTCGAGGAGCAAGCAAAGACTGAAGAGCTGCCCAAAAGCGAAGAGGATCCCTTTGCTGGCTTGAGCAAGAAGCAGAAAAAGAAGAGGATGGCAGCAATGGCAGCTGCTACTGCCGCGGCCGCGGCTGCCGCCAGTGCCGCTGCAATTGTCCCCAACGACGCTGACCCTTCTGAAGCCAAGGAACCCCCCGTCTCCTCAGGTCCCCTTCCGGAAGCCGTCCCGGAGCCGCCAATCGATGCTGAGAAGGCAACGAAGACCACCACGGAAGCGGAAACAGCTGCAAGTATTCCTCTCCCTGAGATCTCGGAACCCGTTGCGGAGACCTATCCCGAGACTAGAGAATCTCTTGGACCAGTGAATGCTCTCAAGGAGAAGGAGTCTTCCAATGTCGAGCTTGCTGCTGCTGTTCCACTACCTGAGCATGTCGCTGAGTCGCTCGAACCGGAGTTTGAGCAGGCTCAGCCCGAACAGCAGACTGTGGTCGACGTGGACCCATTTGCTGGCCTGAGTAACAAGCAGAAGAAGAAAAAGAAGGCTGAGATGAAGGCTGCAGCCGATGCTGCTGAGGCTGCAGCTGTCGCCGCCGCCGCAGTTCCGCCTCCTGAGCACGTCAACGAGTCGCTCGAACCGGAGACGTTTCTCAAGCCAGTCGATCCCCCAAAGAAGAAGGAGTCTTCTGATGCCGAGCTTGCTGCTGCCATTCCACTTCCTGAGCATGTCGACGACTTGCTTGACCCAGAGGTCGAACAGGCCAAGCCCGAAGAAAAGCAAGAGCATGTCAAGGAGCTGCTTGACCCCGAATTCGAACAAGCTAAACCTGAAGAGCTGCCCGAGGTTGAGGTGGACCCCTTTGCTGGCTTGAGCAACAAGCAGAAGAAGAAAAAGAAAGCCGAGATGAAGGCTGCCGCCGCTACTGCCGTCACCGATGTTGCCGAGGCTACTGCTGTTGACGCCGCCACTGTTCCACTTCCTGAGTATGTGGACGAGTCACTGGAATTGGAGGCTGAACATCCGAAGACCGAAGAGCAACCCGAGGTCGAGGACAAAACAGTGGTCGAGGAGAAGCCAGTGGCTGTGGAGAAGTCAGCGATTGAGGAGAAGCCTATGGATGAGGTGGATCCCTTTGCTGGCCTCAACAATAAACAGAAGAAAAAGAAGAAGGCCGAGATGAAGGCGGCCGCAAAGGCCGCAGAGGCTGTTGCCACTACTGCCGCCGACGTCGTTCCACTTCCTGATGAGCATGCCA